TCGTTAAAGTCTTCAAAAGCCACCAGAGATCGTTGTGTAACCGAGGTAAAACCTTCGGTTTTTTTATAGATCTAGGCTGATTAATAGAGATTTAGAAGAAAGGGGGTTCAGATTCAGTACCAAGAAAAATTGGGTTTCAATTTGGAGTGTTTTCCAAAATTCCAGCCACTTTGAACGGTGGTCGGCGGTGGCTGTCGGTTCCAGTGATCAGCGGTCGGCCGACGACCGACTATCCTTCCGGCGAGGTTTTTTTAGAGAGATATCAGAGCATCTCACCCTTCCCTCTTTTTAGAGAGAGAAATGAGAAAATGAGAAGGGTTAAGGCCCTTAGGGGAATTTTGGTATAAATACCCTTCTCCAAACGACGTCGTTTTGGGGAAGGGTATCTGCATAATTTTGTTAATGGGTAAAGTATACCTGCAGTACTTGATATTTTTGTAAAATTCCATTTTAGTCACTGAATTGATTTTCTATTAATTTTAATTTAGTATTTGTATTTTATTTTATTTCATGTTAGTCCCTACATATGTTTATATATATTTTAGGATAAATTGCATGTTTAGTCCTTATTATTTTTATACTTTATATTTTAATACCAAATCATAATATAGGTTAAATTATACTATTAGTACATAACTTTTGTAATATTTAGAATTAGGATCATAAGTTTTATTACTTTCTAATTTAATCCTTTATTTTTAATACTTTAATTTTAAATATTATTTTATAATATTTCAGATGTTAAATATGTTGCAATAGTAACATAGTATATTGGTATTTTATGTTTTAATCATTAAATTTATTACATATTTGGGTTATTTTATTTTATAAAATGATTATAAATATCTCCTTAACTAATTAGGAAGATATTTTAAATAATTGTTGGTATAATAATATCCCTAATATTTTATCGATAGGATCATAAATTAAAATTAAATACAAATTTGTTAATTTATTGCAAAGATAAATTAATTAATAAACACCGATACCAATTTTGGGCATTGAGGGGGTACTAATCCTTCCCCAAATATAACCGACTCCAAAACTCATTCTCTGGTAAGCAAACCCCGATTGTGTTATTTTAATATCATTCTTATGAATTTTATTAAAATAACAGAATATTTGGTGACCAATCTGACCAAATTAAAAGATTGGTGGCGACTCTACAATTTAGTGTTTTATGTGATTCAAGGAAGATAAACACTTATTTTTTCGAGACTAGTTACACTTAGTTGTACTATTTGCACTCGTCGCCGGGCAGAGAACGTCTTGACATTGTGTAATTGTTTAATAGTTGATGTACTGTACTAAATTAATGTTTGAGTGTGGAAACTGAAGTTAGGATGTGAAATTGGATTATTTCGGAAACCTTGTAAAAATTTAGGTTTAAATCATAAATGTGGAAATGTTAAGAGCTTAAGTGAAAATGTTATGTGAAGATGGATAAAAAGGAACTTGAGTGGTCAATTAGAAGTATTAAGGTCAACATTTATGTTGTGACATGGAAATTGTGTCGAACAAGCATCAGAAAATTTGTTAGGACTTTATTTTCCAAAGTATGCCTATGTTAGTAAGATTATAACATTTGGTTTGAATTTGTATATGTTTAGTAATGATGTTCATTTAGATTGAGTTATTGAAATCAAGATCAAATATTATTAAAGCTAAGAAGAAGCTTAAGGATGAAATAGTAAATTCCAAGGAAGGTTGCAAGCTAAGGACACAGGTGAGTGCAAATTGAAATTGTACTTATTTATCGAACAAACATGGCTTGCAATGAGCCAGTGACATAGTTAATATGGTAAGGAGTGACTCCTAAAATGTTATGTGATTTTTTATGCATGCATGTGCATTTGGTGAGCTAATAGAATTAATGTACAAGTTAAAAATCCAAATTGGTGAAATCTGCTTAGAATTTATGTTCTAGACAGTAAGTTTAGAAAATCACCATAAATTCTAAAAAAATATTAGATATTATTTTTATACCGTTGCACTATTTTACAGTCTAGTTTTGTTTAGAACAAATGGAAACTGATTTTTGGTTTATACCAAAAGATATGAATTTGAATCGATGATAGGTCAGAAAACGGAGCAATAGATTCTACTCAAAACTAAATTTTTGGGTCAAAGCAGAGATAATGATTATTTTGAAGTTACGCTCATGGGTTTTTGTGACCCAACATTGTTTAACGACGATGGGAATAGGACGGGTTTCAATGGGAGGTGCGAATAGTGACCAGCGGCTTACCTTTGTGGCTAACGGCGATGAAACGTTGAAGGTGATGAGATTTGCAAGGAATGACACAAGGATTTGAAGAAATAAAAGGGCCACTGCACGCTGATATAATCAGGGAAAGGAATTTGATTTAGAGTAAAATGGTTTAATTGCATACTTGGCTATTTTATTTTTTAGGGTTCACAAAAAAGGTTTCAAACTTTCTAAACCTATAATTTAGTCACTAATTTCAAATTGTGAATTTATGTCAAAATTTCCCAAATTTTGGGATGTTACAATGTCTATTTACTTCTACCTGTACAAAATAAAACTAGAGGAAAGGATTTTTTTTTGGTTTTTCACTATTTTTTTCCTTCAAATAAACTCTTGTACATGATTACCCAACAATCAATTTTTTAACCAAATAGGTCTCATATTCTTCTCATATCCATATTTTGATTTGGATTTTGACAATTACATAATGTCTATTTTATCCATATGATTCGAATCAATTTACAAAATGGCCTCAAAATAAATCTATAACTGCATTTGATATGACTTAAATCATTAGAAAAAATTAGGTATCACAACTACCGCTCTTTGCTTATTATTTTAAAACAATAACATGGAAAAGAAAAATAATGACCTAATTTGTTTGATCTGATTATAACTCTATCTTCCTTAAGCCAATGTTTTTCTTCAATCTTCTGTTGATTTGTTCTTCCATTTCAATTGAATGACCTACCCTCTAATAAAAAAATCTTCTCACTTGGTTTGCCCCATTCTCATAGATTGAACCTGAAAAAGACAAAATTACCATTGTTAACATGTCTAAAGATTTAGTTCTATTATTTTATTATTTTTCTTTTTTTTTTCTTTTTTTCCTTTTTGATTTTCTATTTTTTGATTCTTATGATATATTTTTGTCAAATATTAAATTAGAAACTTTGAAAATCGCGTTCTCTTTTTATTTACAAATGTCATATGAAAACATCATACCTGAAGATTTTATAAATGACCCAAAGACTTATCATCTTGCTCAAACTTATAGATGACCCAGGGATTTAATCACTAGGTTCATAAGATTTACAAATGGCCTAGAGGACTTACTAATTTTAGAAATAGTCTACTAGGTAACATTGGAAATCATTTTCTTACTTTTCAAAAACTTCATTTTTAGAAAAGATTAAATAAAAACTTTGATAATCGCTTTCTTATTTTTTTTCATAAATATCATGAAAACATCATGCTAGAGGTGTTATAAATTGTCCAGAAGACTTATCATCTTGCTTGAAAGACTTAAATATGACCTAGAGGATTTAATCATCAAGCTCGGGAGACTTATTGATGGCCCAGTGGACTTATTAATTTTGCAAATAGTCTACTAGGTAAAAAATTTTGGAAATTGATTTCTTACTTTTCAAAAATTTCATTTTCGGAAAAGATTAAATAAGACACTTTGAAAATCACTTTCTTATTTTTTTTACAAATATCATATGAAAACATCATGCCCGTAGGTCTTATAAATGACCCATAGGACTTATCATCTTGCTCTAAAGACATACATATGACCAAGATGAATTAATCATTAGGCTCAGAAGACTTTGTGATGGCCCGAAGGACTTACTAGTTTTAGAAATAGTTTACTAGGTAACAAATTTAGAAATCACTTTCTTACTTTTCAAAATTTTCATTTTCTGAAAACATTAAATGAGAATTTAAAAAATTGCTTTCTCATTTTCACAAATATCATATAAAAACTTATTAGTGGTAGAGTAACATACCCTACTTCAAAGAAATGATTCATTTGTGGATTAGGCTCCTCTATTCTTGAAGCTCTGCCACTCTAAACATGTTTTCCTCTATTTGAGGTTTGAATTCGATCTCACCCTGACATCTTTTCATTATAAATCTTCTTTCTGTTAAAAACCTATAAGAAGTATGCATCTATGTATAAAAGCATAAATGCAATTAAGTGTATCGATGTAATGCATTCTTCTTATTCAAATGATTTCATCATGAATGAAGAAATGTTAATTCATCAATCTTCTTCTATCTTTAAATTGGAGACCTAGATCTTCATCTAGGTCATCTTTATGTAGTTAAGTTTGCCAATGTAATCCAAATGATATAGGGACGGGCTTAAAACGAGGATCACTACTCCCTGAAATTTTACCATCATATGAATCTGACTCGTTAAATAAGACTATTTTTTGAAATTGGCTTCAAAACTGAACTACAGCTGTCACCATTTCCTTAATCTCCCCATATAGTTTGTTGATACAAATGGTGATTGTGTGTGATTCCTCAAGCTTAATAAAATCAACTCATTTTAAAGTAGACCTTTGTGCACCTGACATCACAAGATTACTTTATTTCTCTTTTCAAGTAGAAGACTCTTTATCTTTGGCCAAAGCATATATTTTATCCATCATCTTGGATATTTTCTCTCTCATCTATTGTATTTCCTTTTTCTCATTGTTGATGATAGCATATTCTGATATCTATAAAATGTTACCTTTGGATGTAATGTTTTTTTATCTTCTCGAAGCTTCTTCATTATGCCACCCCTTAGCTGTGTTATTATCTATTTGATATGAAACATCTTTTCCATCATGAAAACCTTCTACATTGATGATCACTCACAAATCAACACATTTCGATTATGCCATGATAATGTGATGCAAAAAGGGAAGTGCAACATAGAAATGAATTAGTACAAATACGATAACAAAATAACATGAACTATTAATAAAAAAATAAATTAATGTAAAACATGGTTGCAAATGCTAAAAGGTGTTAATTCAAAAAAATCACTATTATAGATCAACCTTCAGTAGATCATAAGTTTTACTTAAACTAGATAGTCAATTTTACGAGCTTCGTTTTCTTTGTGTCCTTGGTCTAGGCTTTTCTCACGATGATGTATTCTTTATAGTCATTGTTGGACTAATCAAGATGTTGAACCACCTCTTACATTTGATGATGTTCACCTATTGTGATTGTTGGATCTTTAGACCTCCACTTCTATGGGATTCTTCAACAGGGAAGTTGTCTTCATATCTTGTGAAAGATCTTCTCATTCTTGATTCAACTAGCATCTGACTATTTGATATCATCTCGGTTTTTGTCCCCTTCGAAGAGAGTCTTCTATCAGCTTTAAAGGCTCTTTCTTCGTCAATTATCTTCGTTTGTAAGTTACGACCTTACGGATTTGGCTACTTAGTTATGGAACCCTCATCGTTATGAAAACCTTCTAATTTGGTTAATCATTTACGAATTAACACCTTTGATTATGTTGTGAAGATGCAAATACCATGGTATAAATCAAGAAAGAAGAAAACCAAATAAAGTGAGTTAATATCCTAAAATAATAAAAAATATATTTAAAGAATAAAACCTACCCATACATGGTTTAATAGATCCTATCCAAACATGATCTCTACCTCCATGCTTCAGTTTGACAAGTAAAACCTAATAATATATTTTATAGTTCTCATTCTTTATTCTATGAAATTATAATAGCAAGGGTGTTGCGTGTGTGATGTACTATGTTATGGCATGTAAAACTGTACAAGTATGCACAATCGAATATGTAATATAGTAATGAGTGAGTATCATCTCCATAGGGATTAGATGGACTTCGAGTTAGGTTTATGCACTGCTCATAACTAACTAAGTATAGGTGGTATAAACAATTGAGTAAGAATATTGTGGTATATTGTAGTTGTTGAAATGATGTAACAAACAGTAAAGAATTCTAAAGCAAATAAAGTTGAGCACTGGTATGAAATAATACTTGGCAACCTCTCACAAAAAACTACAATATAGATAAATCATTGGATTCACTAAGGATTCATATGCCTTGTCTCTAGAATTGTTCATGTCTTCCATAAGTATACTGCTCGACAAAGTTTGCTAAAGTGTTTTAGGTTATCCTTAATAAGGAACGATAATGAAAATACTAAGAAGTACCTCTTAATTTGAGCTACAACATAATACTATCGACTAAGTCCTACACTTTTTAGTCGTTGAAACCATTTTCTTATCTCTAAGGTGAGTTAGAGCTTTGCTTCCCATCTTAGCTTCATTGTTCACATCGATCTAGCCTAACTCTCTCGATATTAAGCATCAAACTTAGAAACTGGCTAACTCTCGAAAGCTCTTACAAGTCTGGTATTTAAACATTTAAACAACAAACAAATCAAGTGTTATACCTTAATTTTGCCCGGGTCAACATTGGTTCCTCTCCTCCACGTGAGCAGTACCAATTGGTCCCAACCCAGCATCGTCACCAATTGAGAATTTCATCTTAACAACTAGAACAGTCATACGAAACAGAAAGGAGAGATTAGTAAGATTAGGATTTTTTTATTTTTACTATAAGAAAAATGAGGTTCCCCCGATATTTAGGGGGAATTCAGTGTAAAAATACAGATAAGGGGATCTTTTTTTATAGAGAAAAGAGAAACCATGTCACAGCAAGAATTCCCCATTGTATTCGAGAACTCAGTAAAAAAAACTAAGATCATTTACAAAGGTATGGTGATTTCCTTAAACAATATCATGCAACTATTTTCTTTATTTGTTTTTCTCGAAGCAAAATAAAAGAGTAAATAGGTTAGAGTTTTTTTGGTTACCTTGTTCGTCGGTTCTCATCAGAGTGAGGGAGTGTCATCATCATAAAAGTGAGAAATTAGAGGGTTCAGAGGCCTATTCGGCTGTTTGGGGTATTTGCATATCGTTCTAAGGTTGTTTTCGGTGGTTGGAAAGAGGTTTGAAAGTTGATTTACAACTTTAGGTTTCTTGAGATTCGATCGAAGGGTTAGAAGAGGATAGGAGAGGGTTTAGGTTTTATTTTAGGCTAGATTTGAGTTCGACCAACCATCATTGGTGGTGGTCGGAGAGGCGAAAGATGCTTATTTACGTCATAGAGGGTTCGGTCTTTGGTGTGAGAGGTAGAAGAAAGAGCTGACGTTATAGTTCTTCGGAGTTTTAGACTCCGTTGGTCGAAGTGACGAGTGACTACAGTCGAGTGAAGAGTGGCCACCAAGGTATGGTGGTCGACAGGCCGGTGGAGATGAAGGCTCTGGAAAGGGTTTCGACCGAAGGGGAAGAAAGGGGGAGAGTATAAGAGCTGAATAAGCGGGTGTTGGGTGTAATTTGGGATTAGGGTTAGTTTAAACTTAGGTTAAAGAATATATATTAGAGGTTTTAGGTTAATTAGTATTTAGTCACTGAATATTTTGGGCAAATTAGGTTTTAGTCCCTATAGGTTTAGCACTTATTTACATTCTAGTCACCTGAAGGGTTAGTTTTCGAATTTTTCCTTTTTATTTATCCTGATTTTGTAATTTTCCAAATTTAGATTTCAGTTATAGTTTTTGGGTTATTTATGTTTAAGTCTGTTATATTTATGTGTGTTTTTCCCATTTAAATCCATGTTTTAATTCTTGATTTATGTATCTAATTTTCACTTTATTTTAATTTAGTCCTTAATTAAGCTTGCGAATAAGTTGAATCTAATCCCTGGTTGATTTTGTGTTTCTTGTTTTAGCCTCTTGATTATTCAATTAGATTAAATATTAATTAGAACTAAATTTTTATGGCATGGTAATCAATTAGATTAGTTTTTTTTTCTTTTAGATTATTTCAAATAAATGAATATTTTTATGTATGCCTTGAAATGTTTTTAGGTTACTAGATTTTTAGAATTGATCCCTAGGATAGATAACATCTCTTTTAAATAATTATGGTTAATTAGAGCCTTATTTTAGGTTTAGTCTCTATCATTGATCAGTGTTTTTTTTAAGTCATTTGCTTTTTAAGTTTTTTTTTTACATTGAATCTTTAGATTTAGGTCGTAGATATTTTTTGTCATAATTTAGATTATTTTATCTTTTGGATTAAGTCCTTAAATCCAAATTTATTTTAATTTTGTCCATTGTTAGGATTGCTTTCTTTATTTAGTTGTTTATATTTATTTTGCATGTTGATGTGTTTACATATGTGCCAGTTTGCGAATGATTGATTTACAAATCACATGACATTATTTTGCATGATATGCATGATATCCTCACGATAACTCTCATATTAAATAATTGGATTAAGGGTAATAGCTTTCATTTTAAAATCGTTATGAGGTGCTTGACTTAACTTATTAGAGAGCCACTTCCGGTGATTTTAAACTGAAAGTGTATCCCAACAGTAAAACCCAAAAAAATGACTCCTCACCTAAAAATTGGGAATGAGAGAATAAGAAATATTCTTGATTTAAATTCTTCGAGAAAATATTGTTAGAACTTATTTAAGATCTGATCTCGATCTATTTAAATAATCGAATATCATTCTTCTTTCTAAAAAGGATTGATAATTTTAATTTAATATGTTTTGGTGCATTTGAATATTGTGATGGAACTGTAATATTTCTTTATTTCGATTGGAGTAAGAATTGATTGCCTCAAGGTATGAGGGGTTGTTTTCTTCTCGATAGGAAATAATTAAATATTATTAGTTTCATTTTAAAATTCATAAAGTGTTGTTTTATGGGATCATAAATTAAATTAAATTTGAACTTGTAAATTTCGTTGCAAAGACAATTAATTAATCAACTAGGTACCGATTTAGGACATTGTGGGGGTGTTAATCCTTCCCCACGCCTAACCGACTCCCGAACTCGATTTTTGGTAACTTATACCTCAAATTTGTTATTTGAATTAAAATTGATATTTTTATTAAAATAACAACATACGTTTTTGGGTGCCCAATCATATACTAATCAAAGATTGGTGGCGACTTCTCAAACTTTATGTTTTTATTTTTAAAGGGATCTCAAATTTTTAGAAACAAGAGGTTTTTTAAATAAATTACTTTTTAATTAAAAATTAACTAAAAGAAAAAAAATGTGGTGTGTAGTTAAAAAGAAAAAAACCATTTCGACAGCTTGACGACTCAACTGGGGACTTTTTTTAGAGAGTCGGGCCGATAGTCGATTAATTAATTGTTTTTGCAAATGAAAATTACAAGTTTGTTCTAATTTGGTTTTTGATCCCTTGTTCAGTGGTAAATAATTTTTTTTGTATTTTGATTTATAATTGGATTAACCACTAAAAAGTTGTAATAACTTGTTTGCTAATGTTTTAAGATTAATTGTATGTTTTCAAAGGAATTTGAGATTTGTATTTTTCTGATTGTGTTGTTTTTTGCTTTTCTTACACACTGCACAGTTTGCATTCATAACATGAGATAAAACCCCGCTCTTTCCAATCTAAGTAGGAGTGAGGAACTACTCCCTCGTGTGGTTTTCACCTCCGCATGGGATAGTGGATCATTCCTGGAGCTCACGCCTTATTTTCTTCGTGATGGTATTCACCTCCACACGAACATAAGGAGCTGTGTTCCCTCGAATTGAACTTGATCCAAAAACCTATGATGGGCCAGGATTGACGGTTTGATAGCCCAAGGGGTACCGACAAGGACAATTCGAGAACCTATTACTTTAGAGCAGAACCCAACGTATAGTGAACCTAGAACCCGAACCTAGGTAGAGCCTAATCTGAACCTTAAGAGTCCCGTGAGGATGGTACATAAGGAAAAGCTTTTTAAGTCATTTAATTTCGCTTTCTGAATAAATGTATGCGAACTAGAAATCATAAGGTTAGGTTTATTTTTCTCGAATAAGCATGCAAATTAGATAGCCTGAGGTTAGGTTTTTCATATTCAAACAAAGTATGGGGTAGATATCATGTTTGGGTAGGATCTGATAAAGCATGATTGAGTAGCCAACATGTGAGGGTAGGATTCATTAACAAATTATTATCTATGATTAATTGCTTTATGTTTACTAACTGATTTTCTTTTGTTTTTTCTTTATTTTATTTTTGCATTGTACTATCCATTCTATAGTGTTGATTTGTGATCGATGTCCATATAGAATGCTAGTAATATAGAATGAAAAGTTCAAAAAGTGGTTGAAGATAATGCAAATGTACTAAGATGGTCTGAACAGTACCAGCTGACCAATGGAGATAGTTTGATGCCAGGATACATATCAGATTTGTTTGCTTACACCCATATAAATGTACGCCAGAACGATCTGAGCGAGCTAAAAGAAATTTGGGGAAGTTGGGAAGTAGTTGACAAGAAATTGTTTTATCAGTTATATGACGATATCTCTTATCTCCTAGATGTTCCAATTGACCGAAACCTATTTAGAGCCCTTGCACAATTATGGAATCCCACTTATAGTTGCTTTACTTTTGGTAGAGTGGATCTGACACCTACCATAGAGGAGTATCGAGCATTGATCCGTTGTTCGAGGTCCCAAATGGACAGAATAACACCAAATTAACAAACACTCATTCTTTAAAGAAGAAATTACTCTTGATGATGGAAACAGTGAATAATAGGTTGTTAGAAACATCAAGGAAAGGGGACAATGCATCTCACTGACTACTCTGAAAGAAGTAATTGATCGTCATCCTGACAAGAGGAAGAAGTTTGATTTGTTTACTTTAAGAATTTAGGGGCTTGTCATTTTTTCGAAGGTACTGGGGTATGTAGATGTATCAGTTATCAACTTGTTTGAGAGATTAGATAAGCAAATAGATCCTATTCCAGCCATTTTAGCTGAGACGTTTTGTTATTTGCGTTCTTGTAGACGAGAGGGAAAATGACGCTTTATAGGATGTGTACCTCTCCTACTATTATGGATCCTTAGTCACTTAAAGCATGTTGAAAGAGCACCACGACGAGTGTTTTTGGATGGGTTTTCACCTTTGAAAGATTTCCTCTCTAGATAATGGCCTGGGGGTTTTACTGAAGAAAAATGGATGGTTATTTTCAAGGATATCAAGGATGGTGATATATTTTGGTAAGCTTCGTGGAATATCTCCTCAGATATATTATACATATGTGGAGAATAAGAATGGGTTCCTTTGCCAAGTATTTGGGGTTCTATAGAGTATGCACCTTTGCTAGTTTCTAGGTAATATGGGTCAAGGCAATTCATTCCAACAATATGGGATTTGTCAGGGTCAGAGTATGCATTCAAAGGAGAGCAATACAAGAGTAAAGTTAAAGGGGTTGCTGATGTATGGAAACAGACTCATCTTGTGAATCTCTTCACATTTGATCTCAAGTTATCTCAGCAGTATGAACAATGAAGAAGTAATCGAGTAAATGATAGAATCCCAATGGTTAATCATGAAAATATTCAGCCTATGGAAGAACATCTGAGAGTGGTGCCATCTCTGTTAGAGCTAGTTAAGCATGACTTTGAGGCAGAAAGAAAGCTATGGAGAGGAAAAGAGCTAGATATTGACATTCAAAAGGGTCGAGCTGTTCAAATTGAAAAAGTGGAGAAGCAACTTTGACGTGACTTTGACAATCTTCAACTATCTTACCAACGAATGGTAAATGCCCAGATAGTTGCCCGCTCAAGTAAATCACCTACTGAATAGAGACAAGAAGTGGCGAGCCTAAACAAAGAATCCGGAGAGAGTAAAGAAGAGCTCAAACAAAGTAGGCATCAAGTTATGATTATGTCAAAGGAAAAAAGTTCTCTAAAGTAATGATTACAAGAGAATCATTCCCAAAATAAGAAGCTGAAAGGGAAGATCTCGAGTTTAGAGGCTGCATTACGATGATACCAAAGCCGAGAAGGTAGCTCGAGCCGTGGAGATGATGAAAGTCTGAAGAAACAAGTGAACGAGCTTGAGGCTATGGTTCAAAATTTTTCAGAGACGAGCAAATGAGCTTTCGATAGTTCCTTACGAGGGGGTTATATAGTGGCGTTATCGTTGGGGCAAGCTCAGTCGAGAGTTAAACAAATAGACTACCTCCTCGCTAGTTACCTAGATCATGCTCAAGGAATAGCTCAATATTCGGTCACCCTGTCTTAGGAAGTTGCTGCTGTAAGTGAAGGACTGGAGTCCGAGACTGAAGAATCCTAGAAGATTATGGAACTGCTGGCACATGTGCAACAATTAGGAGCAGTAGTGTAGATCTATCTGTGATATGTTTAAACCTTGTAATTAAACTTCATTCCTAATATAAAATGTTGTTCTAAGGAGTCATTCCAGGATCAACACCCTGTATTTTGCATACGCATTTTTACTTTTTGCAATGCATCTTAATTTCTCCATCGCATTTTTATTCATT